CAGAGCAGGGAGTAAGGGCGCAGCAGAGGGTGCAGGGCAGGGGCGCAGGCTGGTGCAGGAAATCTTTCCCATTTTTTGTTTCCTGTTCTGCAGCCCTCTTCCTTCTTCTTGGCATGTTTCCAGCTTTAAAAGAGAGAGAAGGCTAGGGTTGGCTTTTGAAGAAGATTCCAGACCGTCCTCTTTTTTCTTTTTCTTTTTTTTTTTTAAAAGTGGGTTTTGGGTAGTGGGCTTTGGGTTTTTGGGTAATTGAGTTGGACTTGTAAATTCATTTTGATGAACTTCACCCCTCCACCTTTTGATTTCTTCAATTGAGTCCCTTGTCTTGATTTCCTTTTCCCGCTTCTTCTTGAATTTCGTTTTACACATAACCCCTGAAACAAAATAAAGATATGTTAGTCAAAGAAAAGAGAAATTTTCATATTTTTTATATTTTTGTGCTCTTTTTTTTGTTTTTTTTTTTTTGTTTTAATTAATTATGTGATTAATACTGATGAAATGCAAGCCGCGTGTTGGGCTGAATGATATAAGCCGCATGTTGGGCTAAATGATATGCAAAGCCACATGTTGGGCTGATGAAATGCAAGCCACGTGTTGGGCTAAATGATATGAGCCGCGTGTTGGGCTGAATGAAATGAGCCGCATGTTAAGTTGAATGAAATGAGCCGCGTGTCGGGGCTAAATGATATGCTAGCCACATGTTGGGCTAAATGAGATGCTAGCCGTGTGTTGGGCTAAATGCAATGCTGCATGTTAGGCATAAATGAAATGCTAGCCGCATGTTGGGCTAAATGAGATGCAAGCCGCGTGTTGGGCTGAATGATATCCAATGCCACATGTTGGGCATAAATGAAATGCTAGCTGCGTGTTGGGCTAAATGATATGAGCCATGTGTTGGGCTGAATGAAATGAGCCGCATGTTGGGCTGAATGAAATGAGCCGCATGTTGGGCTGAATGAAATGAACCGTGTGTTGGGCTGAATGAAATGAATCGTGTGTTGGGCTGAATGATATGCAAAGCCGCATGTTGGGCTAAATGAGATGCAAAAAGAAGCTCAAATGTTTGTGTGAAAAGTTATGTGACAAGTCATGCTTGTAGACAAAACTAGTAAAATATCATGTTAGTAGAGAAATGTAATAGAATGCTTATTTGGTAGGAAAATGAAATGGAATGTTATGTTGATACGTCATGTTGGTATAGAAATGTTATGGAATGCTTATTTGGTAAGAAATGAATTGAAAAATTACTTTTGAAAATAAGTTGAGAAATTGCCTTTTATAGAAATGCTTTTGGAAATGTCATGAAGGAGTTTGAAGATGGTTTGACCTTGTGATCTTGAGATGCAGATTTATTGGAAAAAGAATTTACCTTGGGTTTGCAATTGCCCCTCAATTTGAAATTTGTATTGCATGCTCGCATCTATAATTGACTCAATCATATCACCAACAAAAACTGGATTTTCTGAATACATCATATGTCAATTGCTCAAAATGATCATACATGACAACAAATAAGTTCACTCCCTTGGGATTCTTGTTGTTTTGACTCCATGTGAGTTGTCTCTACTTTCTTTATAAGTAGCATGAATAAAACAAAAGCCTTTTTTTTTTTTTTTTATGAGGATACGATGATAAGAAAAAAGAGAGATGAAATTGATAAGTATGAATGGATGACATGATTAAGATGAAAGAAATGGAATTCTTGACAAAAAGATGAAAGGTTTGAAATTCTTGACAGAGAAGAAGAATCTTTTCCTTGCTATCTCAACAAATTATAATCATTTATTTCATAAAATATAAAGATGATATCTTCAACTCATGGATCATTGAATCATTTGAATGGCTCAGCTTCAAATTTCTCAATTTTTGCCCCCAGCTTTTTAAGGCAATCATATATTTTTATCACTCAAACCACATTGGAATTTCAAAAG